GATGAGCCTTCGATCCAGCTCCAGCTCCAGCTCCAGCCCCGCGGCGCGAGGCTCGGCGCGGCGCTCGCGCCGGCGCCGCCGTCGTCCAAGCGCTCCGTCTCCAGCGGGGTCAGCGGGCTGGCGCCGCTGCCCCGCCCGCCCCCCCCGGCGGCGGCAGCCCCCCCGCACCGCGCGGGCCCGGGCGCGGAGGAGGGCGGGCGAGAGTCAGGAGAGAAAGAAACACACAGACACAATGAATCGTCGACTCCCAGGAAAATACGGGAAAATATGGGAAGCGGGGGGGAAAACAAAAACCTGGAAAATATTGGAAAATATGGGGGATCCTGTTATTTGTGTCTATTTTTTTGTGTGTCCCAGGGCCCCTTCAGAGAGCCGCGCCTGCGCGGCACAGCAGAGGGTCGTCGGCGGTTCGCGCGACGCCGGAGGGTTCTCGTGGCTGCACAACTCGGGCGGGCGGCAAGGGGCCTGGCATCGCTCGGACGTGCGCATTTTTCCTTGATCATCCTTGATCATTTGGCGAAAAAGACACGCACGAAACCCAAAAAAAACACAGGGAATGGACGTCCGAGCGATGGCCAGGGGGGGGAGACCCAAGGGGGGTGGAGGAAGAGGCCCCAGAGGAGCCCTTGTAATTGGGGCCCCACCAGCTGGCCCCAACAGGGGCCCGGAAGGGACCCTTTGGGGTCCTGTTCTTCACGCCCCATTACTTACCAGCCTCGAACGTATCCCTATCCCTAAGATTGACACGCCAAAAGGCGATGACAATCTTAGGGATTCGCCCTCAAAGAATAAGGGAATCCCTACGATTGGCATCGTGATGAGGAGGTGCCCAGCATAGGGATAGGGATATGTTCCAGGCTGGTAAAGTACCGCCCACCCGAACAACAAGAACAAGACAAGAGTCCCGCAGGGGGGCCGGTGGGCCCCCAGACCAGGCTAGTCTGGCAGCCGTTTCGCTTGAGACGTGCTCGGAATGTATGAAGGAGTCGTGCTCGCGCCCCAGTGTTGGCTGCACTTTTGGTCCGGAGGGCCACGATCCCGAGTCAAAGGTACACAACGGTGCACATGGCCATGCGTTCACCCACATGGCCATGCTCTTGAGTGTTCCGAGGCGCTGGGCGTCCGGAGAGCCAGTCCCACCTCTCGGCATCGCTCGGACGTGTGCGTGTTTTCATCGGCGGGGACCATCGAGGAGCATTTTGGTCATTTGGTTTGAATATTCTGATTCGTATATGTATGTTACAAGGCCGGGGACGCCAGAAACAGCGCGCGCACCACACACACACACACACACACACGCACACACACACACACACACACACACACACCCTAACGAATTTGGCCCTCCCCGAGCCTCTGGGCAACCCTTCGGACGACCCGGGAGAACCTCACGAGAGCCCGAAGACGGCCCCAGACGGGTTACCGTTCCGGCGCGCTCCCGAAATGACCCCACAGAGTCTCAGTGCGGTCCACAACGACCCCCAAGAAACCGTCAGACCCCGAAAGATCGCTCCAAAACATCCCAAGAGGCCTCCAAGAGCACTCCCAAGAAGGCCCCCAAAGGCAAAAATCACTGACTTTCTTTGGGTGTTTGGTGAATTTTGGGGTGATCCTCTTTTCGGCTTCCCGACGCTCCAAGACGGCAGTCTTCTGGGCGTCCGAAGCCGCCTGGGAGGCTCCAAATTGCCCCAAAGCCATCCGAAAGGGCTTCCAGGCATTCCAAAGAGAGCACCAAAACGGCGCAACAGGGGTCCAAATTGGCCCTCCAGGAGCCCCATAGCGGCAGGAGCCCCATAGCGGCCCAAGATGGCCCCAAGACACCCTCCGAAGCATTCCAAATCGCGACCCGGTCTTCCAGGGGGACCGCGGTTGGAGGCAGGGTGGCCCGCGGAAGCACCCAGAGGCCCCCAGAACACACCAAGGAGGCCTCCAGAAGGTTTTAAGAAAGCCCGGAAAACTTGTGTGAGGCCCCCAGAGGCTCTCTAAGGAGGAGCCTCCGCAAAAAGAGCTGAGGAGGATGGGGAGAATGCGCAGGGCATGGCGAGACAGAGGAAAAAGAGGCATGGAGGAAGGATAACGAATAACATTACTATAACGGCGATGCCGAAAAAGGCAACAAGGAGTTATCGCTAAATTGTCGGCTTGACATTCCTACCATTCCGCCTGCATACCAAACTTCAAGGACCAAGGTGCGTGGCGCGAAGTGCCACTGCAGTCTTGTATATATGTACATATGTCGGCGGTGCGCTGTGGCACGAACCCCCCCCCCAGCACTACCGGCGGGTTTCGTGCACTACCGGGGGGGTTCGTGCAGCCCGCACCGGGTGCCGCCAGCGGCTTAGAACACCCCCCCCTTGCCGCTTTACCGGGGGGTTCGTGCAGGCCGCATTGGGTCCTCCCCTTTCGCTTTACCGGGGGGGTTCGTGCAGGCCGCGCTGTGTCTACCTGGGCTCCCCCCCCCTCCTGTGGGAGTGGGGGGGGGTGGGAGTGGGGGGTGCGTTGGGGGATGGGTTGGGGGGGGGGGCAGGGGGGCGGTTGGGAAGGGTGGCTCCCTGTCGAAGTGTGGCGTGTGCTCGCCTTGTGTTCTCTATTCGCGTCTGCTCGCCTTTGTTTCGCCTTCCTCTTCTTCTTCCTTCTCCTCCTCCTCCTTCTCCTCCTCCTGCTCCTCCTCCTCCTCCTCCTCCTCCTCCTCCTCCTCCTCCTACTCCTCCTCGTCCTCCTCCTCCTCCTCCTCCTCCTCCTCCTCGTCCTCCTCCTCCTCGTCCTTTGTAATGCAGATTGGGGCCACAAGCATGCGAGTTGCGCCGCAGCCTCTCGTATTGTGGCCACGAGCCCAGCAGTGCGAACAACAGGAATGCCAGTTCCTCCTCCTGCTCGTCCTGGTAAGATTCGCGCGTCGGGGCTGGGGTTCGCGCGTGCCGGGAGTGCGCCGCTTACGGAGGGGTTGCGTCGTTACCGGGGGGGTTCGTGCAGCCTGCCAGAGGAGGTCGTGTTTACCGGGGGGGTTCGTGCAGGCTCGGACCAGGAATGGCGCCAGCTCGAAACCCCCCAGGAGTGATTACCGGGGGGGGGGTCGCTCCGCACCGGGCACCGCCGACATATATAGATGTATATGTAGGTATATGACTATAAAGTCAGAGGTGCGAGGCCGAACAATGCGCATGGAATGGACGTCCGAGCGATGGCCAGACCCACACTGTCAGCTGGGGCTAATTAGGGCTCCCCGAGCGCTGTTCCACTCCTTGCCTCCCTCTTCCCTCGCATGAGCGACGAAAGAACACGGGGTCGACTGCGCCGACATTCGCGCGTAAGCTTCCCGCGTAAGGTCGTGCCACGCTGGCGGCCCGCGAAAGCCGCGGCGCACTGTCGCTACGTCTCCTCGCGTAAGACCCGCTTCTTTTCATTGCTCACATCTGGGCGCCGAGAAGAGACGACGACTCAGGAGGGGACAAAAACACACAGAC